AAGCCAATGATTGTTTGTTTCGTGTTTTGATTTTGATTTTGTTTTTGCTTGTATTTTTATTTTTTTATTTTTTTTCGGGTCTTCAAGTAACTGTTCGTTTTTATGTTTTAGGCAATGAGTTATACATTTTTTTATTATAATTTTTTTTCTTTTTTTTTATGTGTGTGTAAAACTTTTATAATTTATGAGGGAGAAATAATTAATTTTTTTTTTTAAAAAATTGTTGATTAAAAAACCAAGGAAAATGTTTTCATTCTTTTAACCTTTTAACTTTGAAGAAACTGTATCAAACAAGCCCACCTATTGCGAGAGAGGTGGTACTAAAATTTAAAAAAATAGTTGATTAAAAAACCAAGGAAAATGTTTTCATTCTTTTAACCTTTTAACTTTGAAGAAACTGTATCAAACAAGCCCACCTATTGCGAGAGGTGGTACTAAAATTAGTGTATCAAATAAATTAAATTTTATAAAAAAATTAACACTACATAAAAAAATAACGCAACTTTTATATAAAAAGATGCAATTTTTTTTTATAATTTATTTATTTCAAATAAAAATATTTATCATTGTTGTGACATAATTTCAAAATGTCATTGCCAAATTTTTATGTAAAAATTCTATTTTTATATTATTACTCATTGAAAAATAAACAGTAATTTTCTTACCCAAAATCCCACGAAATTTGGATATTATTTGTTATTCATCTTGGTTTGTGTATAAAATTAGAAAAATATTTAAAATATTACTTTTAAATTTATTTTAATGACATAAATTATTAATTTATTTAAAAATAATCAACTAACAGCCTGGTCGGCACATTAGCAGGAAATTTGAATGTAGCTCCTTTTTTTGGATACCTTGTGCTTGTAGAATATTTTTAAGGTGATGCCTATGCTAATCATATAAATGATTAATGTGGAATATCACATGATAATGTTGGTACCCAAAAATTGTCCCATTAAGCTGGATCAAAACAAGCATTAAGGGTTATTTTGAGAAGATGGTTGAAAGTTGATTTTTGACTTTTTTTTATTTTTTTTGAAAAAAAAAATGTAAAAAATATGAGAAGTTATGTGACCAAAAATGAGTTAAAAGCTGGAAGATCACTTGTAACCATCTTCCCAAAATAGTCCTAATTCATGTAAAAGTTTGAGAAGGTAGCACCTTGTTAAGGGAAAATTATTGTTTATTCCTGGAGCAATCTAATGTGAGGCTTTAACTTAGTTGTTATTGGTTGAATTAGTGAGATTCATTACTTTTTCAGCAATGTTAGGTATCATGAAAAAATTTTTATGAAAATAATTATGAAAACTTTGTAACCCCTGAATTACACTTAGAATAAAGCACCACATACTAATCAAGGTAATCCAAGGATCACAACTCTTTCATGATCATTTTCATGAAAAAAATTTCATGATCCCTAACTTTTCTCTTACTTTTTTTATTTTTTATTTTTTTTATCTCTTTTTAGGAGATAATGAGGCTTGGTTTGGGAAGTGGGTTGGCTTTTTGGCTTTTTTGGCTATTTTAGTCTGGGCTAAAAAGTTTGGTTTGGGAAGGACTTTTTGGCTTTTTGGCTTTTTTGACTTTTTTTGTGAGAGAAGAATGTAATGAAACTTGCCAATATTAATATTTATCTGAATTTCTGTGAAAGACCTATCTGGGGTTGGTCTGACAAGATAAAAAGATAAGGTGCAAGACACTCACCGTAACTACAGAGGGGGTCCCAACCCAACAAAGAAAAGTAATGGGTTCTACAGAACAGTAGGTGGGATCAATAACTTACTTATCTTGATCAAGTGGTGCTTTACTAGGGTTGTGTTTTCTCTAAAAAAAAAAAAAGTGAGATTTATGATTTTGTATTGGGATATAGAGAATAATAATATTTGGATCATAAATTTATATGGAAATTTAGAAAGGAAAAAAATAAGTGAAATATAAATAAAATATAATTATATTTTATATATTTTTCACATATTTTTTAATTTTTTTAAGATAAATTTCTATTCAAATTTATGATTTAGATAGGGGGCTTAACAATTTATGATTTATGATTTAATAATGGGTAAGAAGAAATAAAGGAGAATACAACTCAGCCCAACTATGGATTGGTTCTAAATTAGTGCCCCCATAAACACCCCTACCAAACACTATTTTTTTTATATATGATTTGCATGATTTGATATATGATTTCCACTATGATAATTGGTGATTACTTTATTCGAGTTGGGTCCGATTATATATGATTTGATATATGATTTCGATGTTGGATTATTATAATTAGTGTGTGGGTAAAAATCTGACCACACTGCCCGTTTAGTGATCAGCAGCTAAGCACCGGCAGAATAGATGGCTCCAGCAACCTGTAACAGAAAAGAAAAGCTCCGGCGGTGGTTCTTCCACCCGGGGGCACTCCGACGATCAAGTCAGTATGATTCTCAAGGATAATCAAGTATTAAACTGAATACTCAAAGTATGAATTACATACCTTAGACCCACGGGGGTGCCTTTCTTTTATAATGTACTCAATCCAAGTCCAACTAGAAGTATGACTTCTATGAACTCCAATCTTAGTGCTTACTCTGGACTCTTTAAGAGATAGAGATAAACTCCCTAAGAGCTTTATCTTTATCTTAACTAAGTCCCCTCTTTGCCTTAGGACTCTTGTCCCTTATCTTCGGACTCCGACATCTTCGGAGATGACCTCGGCTTCCCCGAGATTACCTCGGCGTAACTACCAGGGCACGTGGCACCTCGGCTGACACGTCGGCGTCACCATGCCACGTGTTGGTATACAGAAAATATGTCCCCACATAAATTATTATGTATAAATTATTAATTTATTTAAAAATAATCAACTATCAGCCTGGTCGGCACATTAGCAGGAAATTTGAATGTAGCTCCTTTTTTTTGGATACCTTGTGCTTGTAGAATATTTTTAAGGTGATGCCTATGCTAATCATATAAATGATTAATGTGGAATATCACATGATAATGTCGGTACCCAAAAATTGTCCCATTAAGCTGGATCAAAACAAGCATTAAGGGTTATTTTGAGAATATGGTGGAAAGTTGATTTTTGATTTTTTTTTTTGATTTTTTTTGGAAAAAAAAAATGTAAAAAATATAAGAGATTATTTAATCCAAAATGAGTTAAAAGCTGGAAGATGACTTGTAACCATCTTCCCAAAATAGTCCTAATTCATGTAACTATTGTTCATTCCTGGAGCAATCTAATGTGATGCTTTAACTTAGTTGTTATTGGTTGAATTAGTGAGATCCATTACTTTTTTTTGCCTCTTTTTAGGAGATAATAGTCTTGTTTGGTAGAGCTGTGGGAAAGTGCTTATAGCGTATAGCTTATAAATATGAACATAAGCTATAAATTAAGCTTCTCCTGCCCCACTCAAAGAATAAGCTGATTTCTGACTTACAAAAAGCTATAAACTATAAGCTTAAGCCAAACCAAACACATCAAAATAACTTAAATTAAGCTAAAAACTGAAATAAACTGAAAAAAACTGAAAAAAAAAACTGTACCAAACAGGGCTAACGAGACACACACTGTCCCTTAATAAATAATGTGAAGTATTTAAAAATAACTTCTCCTTGTGAAGTGTCGCTTCTCTGATGGCTTTTACATTTCGTGATTGGTAGGTCTCTAAACTTGGTGTTCTTCTTAGGAATGCACTATTCTTTTTAAAGAAAGTATAGAAAATGATGTACTGGCATCATTATGTTTACTCTCAATTGACTCCATATTCTATTAGAACAAATTTAGTATTACCGTGTATTAAAAAAAAAAAAAATTATTTATTAGCAATTCCAGATTGTTATATGGAATTATTTATGTGGTGCTGTTGAATAATAGAGTAGTAAGATATTTTACCAGTGCCTCAATATTAACCCATTTTTCTTAGACAATTGAAGATAAGAAATGATTTATTTAGTATATTTTTTAATTTCTCATTACTTAAAAATTTCATGTAAATAATCTTATATGGTATATCTAATAATTTTCATTTCTACTTAGAGCATTGTTGGTTAACATATAATTGAGAGTATATAGATGAAAATTATGATTTTAAAAATTGAATTGCTTATTTTATTTATTGACAAGACCTATTTTAGAAAATTACAATTTTAATCATAAAGTAAAAAAATTAATTAAAAAAAAGTCAACTCTTCTATTTGTTTTTTTTTTATTTACGAAAAATGCCAAAAAATTATTAAAAAGAGCCAATTATCAAAACGCAGAAAAGTTATCACAGATCATGTAGTTTTGATTCTTAAAGATTAAGACTGAAATTTACGAGATAAGCTATTTAGGCTTCGTTTGGGAAGCCATAGTTTGAGTTTTTTTGGTTATTTTAGTCACAAAAAATAAAATAGGCTATTTTAGTCCTAACAAACAAAACATCACATCCAACCCATAATCATTACATTATTCTCTCACAAAAAAACTCAAAAAAGTCAAAAATTCAAAAAGCCCTTCTCAAACTAAACTTTTTAACCCAAGCTAAAATAGCTAAAAAAATCAAAAAGCCAAAAAACCAACCCACTTTTCAAACGGAGGCTTAAAATGACCAACACTGGACGGTCGTAGAGCCGTGAGAAACCTCCCCTTTTGTCCAACTGTTCACAACTAGATCTCTAGGATTGTCATCCATCCATGCGCTCAGATTTGACAAACAAGAAAAGCTCCAGGTCAAATATGGTCCCTATTCTAATCTAATCCCCTTTCTTCTTCCACTCTTCGCCACATCTCCATCAATTTCTCTCTTTACTCCTAGATCTTTCTTGCTACCAAGATAGTGATTAAAATCACAAAAAACAAGGAATTGTAAGCGTAGTAGTGGACTAAGAGACAAATTCTAAATACTTGTAAAGAGAGAGCGTGAGTTTAATTCTTTTAGATGTTAATTTATTAATTAATTACTAACTTTAGCCGATAAAATAAAATTAAAAAAACAAACACCATAATTGAAAGAGAGAGGGGAGGCTTTGAACAGTTTGGGTTCTCCATTCACTGGTTGCAATTATTTTCTAGCAATACACCATACATAACATTCACAAGTGATGAGGAAAAAAACAAAAAAAAAGTTACTACAATACGATAACAAACAATAATTAGACAATCTCTTCACTTTACAACCCCCCAAACTCTGCATCTCTAGAGACAATGCATTTTATACTAAAAACAAAGATCTAATTTCTTTTAATTCTCTCTCTCTTTCAACTAAGCATCAGAATATTGCTCAAGACTTTGAGCAGTTTGGTAACCTTTCACCCCAGGAAGATAGATTCCGTTCGACACCGACACCGGAAACCCTATCCCGGTCGTCGGCGGCGGCGGCCTATTTGTCGCCGCTCGCTCGAGCGACTGCACTTGGGTCTTCAAGAACTTCACGTAGTGAATTGCTTCATCTAACATAGACGCAGTGTCCATTTTAGTCCCTCCTGGTACCAGCCTCTGAAGAATTCTGATTCTCTCGCTTATCTTCTCTCTGCGGTGACGCGCCGCCACGCTCTGCGGGTCCTTCGAAATCTTCACGTTCCTCCGCTTCGGCGGCTTCACCGATTCCGGGTCAATGTGGATCGGCTGCATCGCCGCTATCCTAAATATCATCTCCCTCATCGCCGCCATCGAATTCCGCTTCTGTGACTGTGTAGTTGCCGGAAAAGGAAACTCACCGCCGCCGCCTCCTCTCCACCTCCCCGAATTCGACAAGAAAGGAAGCTCCGCCGGTTCTTGAACTCCTCCGCCACCGCCAAACGATAGGGTGGTGGATGGTGGGTTCATGAATGAAGGCGAAACATGTGGATTTTCGATCATTTGCGTCGCGGTTCTGACATTGCTACTGCTACTACTACTCCCTAGTACTGTAGGAAATTCCAGCGACGTTCGCGACATCTGATCGCCGACGTCGCTGTAACCTCCGCAGAAATCGGGAACATGGAGCTTGTCCATCTGCAACATCATGATCATGTCAATTTGATCTTCAGATGGAGACTTTAAGAGGTCAATGTCCATGGTTTATTTTTTATCACACACTCCTTTTATAGTAGAACACTAAAAAAGAGAAGTGTTATTGGGAAATGGAGAAGAGACCCAGAAGTGTTTTAAAAGCTGAGAACTGAGAGAGGAAAAAAAAAAAAAAAAACTGATGTGCAGAGGGATGGGTAAGGTAAAGAGAAAGGGTGTCTAGACTAAGAGTTTTATCAGAATGTGCAGAGAAGGAAGAGAAATATTAGGGTTAGGAGAGAAGGAAAAGAGTGAGAATAAAATATATAGTGATATCGGGAATAGACTATCAAAAACACTGGGAAGACACACACATATATATATATATATATGTATGTATATAACAAGTGGTTGAGTATATAATATACGATATGATATAATATAATATCATGTGATATATTATAATAATAGTATAGTATAAATGCTTTCCATTTTTGACAATTTTATATTGTTTTTACAAGTTGGTGGGCTTTTTTTTTTTGGGTTGTTAAAAAAGGAGAAAGGAAGGAGAAAATGTGTAGTGTTTTCTTTTTCTTTAGTATGAAACAATCTCCATTTCTTAGCGGTGAGTATGGTTGATATTGGATTTAATTAGTATAAAGTCAGAACTAATTTATTATTTATGATTTTTAAAAAATTGGAACTAATTTAATCTGTTTAAATCGTGGAATTAACTCGAACCAATCCATTTAAATACGGATTGGATCGGTTTAGGACCACGGATTTACATAATTAAATAACAAAAAAAACTGGTTCCACCATAAGTATTTAGACAATTATAAATTAACATTAAAAACTAGCAAACAAAAGTAATAAAAGGAGATACTATGCGAGTTTAGGTTTGGATTTAAATTTTATATAAAATAAGAGAAAATACTATGCAGGAGGGTGTATAATAAAAATATAGACTATTTATATACGGTCCGGATCGGTTTCAATCCGAAACCGTGGGGTTCAATCCGGAACCAATCTGTAAATTACGAATTTTTAATTTTTTAATCCAAAATCAAACCACAGATTCAAAAAATTAATCTAAACCTACTGAATTGGAGTGAATTGAATCAAATTACGAATTCACGAATTTTTTACTCCGTCCTACCATTTATGGTTGTTGAAAAGATTTGGCATATGATGATTATTGCCGCTTAGAAGTGCATCATGAAGCACGTTCACTGACGCAATCAGATCATGACCATTGAAATTGTGGGCCACATCAAGATAATGAGAGATGATGGGTATTGATCAATAATATAAAATATTTTTCAAAAGAAATTCAAAATTTGAAGCAAAGGGAGATGAAGAGTTAGAGAAAGGATCCAATTAGAGAGAAATGTTAATCTCATAAGATGAGATGTGGCCCACAATTAGAATGGTTGAGATTTACCAATTGTTGGAGGGGATATCATAAATGTTGGGGGAAGTTATTTAGTAATCTAGTGACATAATTTGATGGTACCTAAAAATATTGTGATTAGTTAAAGGTATGAAATTTATAATTTGAGATTAGATAATGGGAGAACAACTTTGAGCACATCATTAAGGTCTGGTTTGGTAGAGCTGTGGAAAAGTAATTATGGATTATAGCTTAACAAATTATAATTTATAGTTGTGAACATAAGGTGTGAACCTATTTGGTGTAATTATGAGATTATAGATTTAAGCAGCAGAGTAATGTTTTTTAGGGATGGCAATTTGAAACTTACCCGACGGGGACCTGATCTCCCGACCCCGATTTGAACGAATTTTCTCGAAAAAATACCTCCGACGAGACGGGGATAGTATTCAAAAATCAATCCCAGATCAATTTCAAGCTAGGGACGATGATAAATGCCCAAGCCCCGGCCCCGCTTATTAACTGTTTTGTTTCTTTCTCTCTCATTTTATCTTTTTGTTTCATTTCAGACCTATTCTCTCGCTCTCTGTTCCTCACATTGTCTTTGATCTCTCATTTCATCTTTTTGTTTCGTTTCATTTCATATCTACTCTCACCGAATCAACGCTACCTCCGACGACAACGAGCAGAGAGCAAGGGAAAAGAGAGCACACCGAACGACACCTCATCTTCCTCCGTCATCGGTTCCCTCCGCCTAGCAGATCTAAGCAGATCTTTCTCTCTTTCTCTCTCTCTCTCTACTCAGATCTCTCATTCTCTGATGTTGATGATGTTGTCTGATGTTGTTGTTTGTGGTGTTGATGATGTTGTTATTGATCTTTCTCTCTCTTTGTTTGTTTTTTGTTTTTTTTTGTCCGGGGAATTTCGGGGTCGGAAACGCCCGATCCTTGTTAGGGCGCAAGGACGGGAACGGTGATAGGTTCCCCGTCAGGAATCGGGGCCGGGCACAGGGACATTTTTACCATCGGGGATTGGGGACGGGGAGTGTGATCCTCGACCCCGCCCCGTTGCCATTCCTAATGTTTGGTTGATGAGTTGTAAAATAACTTTTTGCTGTGCAATTATCTTTTTTGCCCTTGTATGATATAAAAATGATTATTCTGTTTTTTTTTTCAGTTTTAATTTTGAAAAAAAATTATTTCATTAATAAAAGCTAATTAGTAAAATTATTTCATTTTTAATTATAAATTAATTAGTGTCAATTAATGGCTTAATTAGCACCAATTAATACTAAAATTATTAATTAGTATTAATTAATATAAAATTTATTTCATTAATGGCTAAAATGCTTAATTATTATTATTTTTAATTAAAAAAACATTGAAAACCTCCAGGGAAAAAAAAACACTTAAAACCCTAGACGTGGCGACGCTAGGGTTTAGGATCACCTCACACGTCCGATCGTGATAGGAGGATAAGGGACGACGACAGAGGCACAGAGAGAGAGAGAGACCAACAACAACGTAAATTGCGACGACGACAATGGTTCAGATCACAATGGTGATGAACCAATGCCGGAGAGAAAAAAGAGGAGGCGGGCGATGGTGAAAAGAAACAGAAGAGGCAGCGATGGCAATCGTGGTTAGGTTTTCAGATCGCGATCACGCCGTTGATAGCTGTGGTGACAGGAGGCGGCGACGGAGCAGATCGTGCCCTAGCCACCGCTTCTAGTTCGTGAGAGAGAGAGAGAGAGAGAGAGAGAGAGAGAGAGAACTCTGGGTTGTTTATCGAAAATCTCCTGTCGAAAATTGCCTCTCCTCTCTCTCTCTCAAGTGGACTGTGTTTGAGAATATGAGATTTATATAGTTGGGTTTTTGGTAATAGTTGAGATTGACGAGGGGCATTTAAGTAATTTTACCTCTCAACCACCCCCTTTGACCCCCTCTCTCTCTCATTGGTTACCTTTTCTTTTTCTTTTTCTTTTTTTTCCTGCTCCTCCAATCACCCCCTACCACGTGGCAAAGAGGGTGAGGGGGTGACCCCCAAAAGGGGGTCCCAAGCATTATTCTTATATAATTTTGCCCCTCAATTTTAGCTTTCTGCTTAAGCTGAATCCGAAAAGCACTTCTTCTGTCACTCAACCAAAAATCACTTTTTTAGCTTAATTTAAGCTACAAAAAGTTAGGGGTTGTTTGGGGTATTCTAAATAAGTGCACTTTTTGTCTTTTTGGACTAAAAAGTAGAGAAAAAAAATATAGATGCATGGGTTAACTTTTTGACTTTTTATGGAAAAATATGTATTAAAAAATTGTATAAAGAAGTGTGTAGGAGAAGATTGGAGATGTGTGTATGACAGCCGTACAATCTGCAAGCCGATTGAATGTTAAGAAATTATTGGCTACTTTTCGAGCATTGCACTGGACGATTTTGTTCGGTCCGTGGGGGCCATCACGGGTCCCATTTTGATAATCTGAATAATTCAATATGTAGAACTTATCGAGTACTATATGCTTATTAAAAATCACGTTGATCAGATATCGATAGCTATCTGATTAGATTTTTTTTTTCAATCGTTAATTATAACACCATCCATTTTTTTTATACAAAACTGATTTGATCATGTAGTTATCGATATCCGATCAATGTGATTTTTTATAAACATATAGTACTCGACGAGTTCTACATATTAAACGGTTCAGATTATCAAAACGGGACCTGTGATGGGCCCCCATGGGCCGAACAGCTGTGTGTGAAAATTGTACTAAAATTGTGCAATTTTTGGGACAAGCGCTGCACAACGCCAGCTTTGAATGATTGTTGAGTTATATAGATGTATGGAAAAATAATTTTTTAATTTTTTTTTGTGAATACTGATAACTTTTTAACTTTTTAAATAATTTTTTAACTTTTTGACTTTTTGAAGAGATGCCAAACTCAGCCTTATTTTAAACTCTACCAATCACACCAAAACAACTCAAAATAATTTAAAAGTTAAATTAAGCTAAAATTAAGTTCTAACGACAGACACTAATGCAAGAATGAAAAAAAATAAAGATAAAAATTATCATGTATATAAAGATAGTAGCTAACATTGGGGTGTTTTGGAAAGATTTTTAATTTTTTTTAATCTTTTTATAAGGGAAGAAAGTGAGTTTAAAATTAAGATATTGTTTCTAACCCACTTTCTAAAATGGGCCATTGAGTAGAGCAGTGAAAGACCAACTTTGGCTTAAAAACTTTAAAAAAACTCCAAAATCCCAAAACCTCAACTTTTAGATTATTTTGAGCTTTGGCTTACATTCTTATAGAAGAATTCCAAAACCGCACTCACACGACATGAGTCAGAGGTGTCACCAGACCCCATTAAATGAGACACTTACCCAGGTCGGCCGCCGGTCAGATTCCGACACCGGACCGTCTATCTGTATATATGTCTACACGTGGCAATCATCTACATATGGAACATAGAGGGACTGCGGCGTTATTATTTCGTGGAGTGTTCGTCTTGTGAAACTCTGATAACGTTTGATAAAATTTTTAAATATGATTTGAGAATAAGTTTTTATTTGATAAATGATTTTTTTAGTTAGAAAGTTATTAAAAATCTAATAATTCATACTAAAAAGTTAAAAAAAAAAAAATTCTCTATTTTTTATATATCTTTTTGTAAAAAGTCAAAAAGTCATCTCATATATAATAATTTTTTTTAACTCATATTTTAGTCAAATAACAAAAAAATTACTAAATTAGCCTGTTCTCAAACGAGGCCTAAGAGTTGTATTTTGAGTTTGTGAGTTTTGGAATTATGATTTGAATATAGAGACTTTGTTTGGTGAATGAGTTTTGAAAAGAGTTTTGAATTTAGTGAGAAATTTTTGATGTAATATATGATATCCGATACAAAAACTTACAACTCATAACCAAACACACAACTCAAAAATCTATTAAAAACTCGTAA